AGAACTTATCAGCCGAGGCTCAAATGAAGTAGTGCTTTAAAAATAACGCTTACAAAGGAACATTCCAGAGCAGATAAACAGAATCTGCTGGGTCTGAGAACCTGAGCAAATCCTGGTTTCTCTGCAAAGCGCTTGGGAATGTGGCATTTGTTTCTGTCAGTCAGGTTCCAAGAGAATTAAAACCATAAAAGGGCTCATAAATCAGCGAAGGACTCCTCAAATTGCCTCCTAAACAAGAAAGAGCAGGAGACAATAGCAAATCATTGGAGAGGTGCATGAGGCAAAGGGACAAGGGATGGACAAGAGGAGCCCTGGGGGACAGAGAGTGAGCAGCTCTGTAAAACTCAGGTCACTGTAGTACTATCACCCTAAATATTTCTCTTTCATTTGTCGATTACTGTAATAATTTGCAAACTCCTAGTGTGAAACTGAACCTGGGAAAAGGTATTTCTGGTCTTAAAACACTGGGTCAGGAACAAAGACTTGTAGTATATCTATAAAAAGAGATTGCAACAGAGCATCTAAAATTTAAGATGAGTCCCTGTGATTGCATTAGAGCAGCAGCCAATCCAAATGCTGTGCCAGTGATCCACAGCTAGAAAAATAAACAACTCCATGAGTTTGTACTTGAATTGCTAAAGAATTTGCTGCATTTTAGTCTATCACAAGTATATGAAAAATATTCCGTAACACTACTTTGCAATGTACTTGTCATCTTACAGGAAAGTTGGAGGAGGACCTCCACCATCATTTAGCCCTGTCACACTCACCGTCACATCTGCTCCAGTGGTCTTTGGCACAGGGACTGTGTAAAAGGTGTTCAAAGGTGTGGGGTGGTGCTGCTGGTGGGATCTTATTTGTCTTCCCCACAGAAACTGAAAGAAACTTGATGTAGGAACATGCTGGTGACAAGAGAGATGTACTGATGGCATCTCCCAGCTGCTACTAGTACCTAAGGAGGGGCCTACAGGAGAGATGGGGAGGGACTCTATCAGGGTGGGGAGCCATAGGACAAGGGGGAACAGTTTTAAACAGAAAGAGAGGAGATTTAGATGAGATCTCAGGAAGAAATTCTTTCCTGTGAGAGTGTTGAGGCACTGGAAGAGGTTGCCCAGAGAAGCTGTGGCTGCCCCATCCCTGGAGGGGTTCAAGGCCAGGCTGGATGGGGCCTTGAGCAACCTGGTCTGGTGGGAGGTGTCCCTGCCCAGGGCAGGGGGGTGGGAACTGGATGATCTTGAAGGTCCCTTCCAACCCAAACAATTCTATGATGCTATGAGTTTATTGGTTGAATACATGCAAGTTTAAGCAGCTTTACGGAACTCACAGCAAAAAAGTTTTAGTCTGTAGGGCTGGCTATTTTTACTGGCAGTGCAGGTCTACATGCTATGTTCACCCCATCAGGGAAAAAAGCAATATTTTGTCACCTACAAGTCAATGGAACCGACCAATGAAGGAATCAATTTATAATAATGATTAATAACAAAGCACTGTGGGCAAAGGAGCTACAGACCAAAGCTAATTTATGGAAATTACTCAGCAAGTGATTATGACTAATGTGATTTGCCTTGAGGCAATTCATGAACCAAAAGTTAAATGTGTGGAATGAAACATTCATTATCCATTATTCACTCAGTATAGGCAATGGCATTTGTACTGTAGCAGAGCCCAGACACTTCAGTCAGTCTTCAGGGGCTTATTACACTAAGCGTTATATGGACTTCTTTTTTCCTTAAAAAAAAAAAGGGACAAATAACCCTCCTAAGGAGCTCCAGATGCTAAGTTTAAAAAGTCTGAAGGGACTACACTTTCTGTAAAAGTGGTTGACCTTACAGCTCAGGTATTGGTAGAAGAGCAGTCCTGTTTGAAAGTTTTTCATGTGCACTTCACATCCAGCTTCTTCTGTGAGCCTTTGAAACGGATTCAAAGGAGGTGTAAAACCAATTCTTAAACCAATCCCGGTTTTCTGACTCTAAAATGTAAACATCCAAAGTGCAGTACTTGTAATTGTAGCAATTTGTATATCTCTGTTGACCCCCCCTGTTCACACCTCTGTCATTTATTAGGCATGGTGTGTTAAGACAGCAACAGGACTCTATATCTGGACTGTTTGTTGCTCATTTTTTCTGGTGCACTGCCTTCTGATTTCTCCTAAGCACTTTATCAGCATTGTGCTTAAAGAATCAAGTTTAAAAAAACTGAATGTAAGCCCACTGTCGGTTGAGTTTCCAACTCTGGAAGTCTGAGGGCGGGGGAAAGACAGAGGAGACTGACACGGAGACTTAAAAAATTGCCCAACTCTAAATACGTGGTTCTTCAGAGGGACTGATGCCTTGCAGCTGCAACTGAATTTGCTGGTATTGTGAGTATTTGGCACTTGTAAGAAGTGTCATTGTTGATCCACTCCTTCACGGGTGAATAACTTGACTTTTTTTTTTTTTTTTGGGTGGGAAGATAACGATAATTTAATGTTAAACATATCCATTACTTGTTAGCCCCCTAGGTGCCTTTTTCCGTCTGACCCCATGTAGATGGGCAGGGAAGCAGCTGCAGATGGAAGAACCCTAAGACCTGAAATGCAGCCAAACCCAGCCTGTTTTCATTAAACTGGGTGTCAGTACTTTCTCTCTCTTTTTTTGAATCTTCCCTTCAACCTCCTCAGCTTACTACCTCATCAGAATCAATCACTTTCTAATTAACTAGTCAGATTCCGATGCAGTTTGCCAAAATTTTATTATCCTGCTCTCGGAGTTATAGCACGCAATCGTTTATTCAAGTTCCTACTGCTCCCACTTTGATGGAACTGGGTGAAGGAATCTCTCTCTGGGAGCCTAAGGGAGCTCTGTAATGAGAAGCAGTTACAGGAAGGTGAGTAACCCTTTTGCTTCGCAGGGTTTGCAATACGAGGAGAAAGGGAAAAACACATGTGCTCCCTCTTTATGTTCCAGCATCCAGGGGGAAGAAATTAATGCAAAAACCAGCTTCCACATGTATTTCTTGGGTTTATGGTTAGCTTTTTCTTTTTTTTTTCCTAATTGGGAGTAAAACAGTTATTCTTTTGAGGGTATTACACTAACATTCACAGTTGATGGTCAGGCCCTTAGTGCTGCAGAAATAAATACAGGACAATATTCTTCAGGACAATTGGGCATTACAGTACAAAGTGCTATAATACATGGCACTGTGACACTGCCCCTGTTGAACGTTTAAAATTCCTCTTGTGACATGTGTACAGGCTGGATGCCTTGAGAATGGGATTTACAAAAGATAGCATCTTGAGGGGGAACTAATATAACACAGCAAACGCTGAGGTGATGAAGGGAGTCCCAGCCTTCCTACTTAAAGCTAGGGAGGAATCAATGCCTTGGCTGCTGGAGTTTTCACAGCAATGAGCCTTCTCCTGGGCTGAGGTACCTAAGGCAGCTCCGTCCACTTTCTTAAGAAATGGCAGCAAGAAATCTTCCTCATAACTGAAAGATGAAATAATTGTCAGGAGGGCATAAGAGCTCTTAGAATCATAGAATCATCTAGGTTGGAAAGGACCTTAAAGGTCATCTAGTCCAACCATCAACCTAACTCCGACCCCAAAAACAAATAAACAAACAAAAAACCAAAAACCAAAAAAACCAAAAAACCCCAAAAACCCCACCACAAAACAAAATACAAAAACATACCACTAAACCATATTCCTGAGGACCAAACATCTTCTAACATCTTAATTCTGTTCGATTTGGTATGTGGACTGAGATTTGATTCACTTGTACCCCAGATGTTAACTATTGGAGTAGAAAATTATATGCACCTTCACGCTTCGTGTCAGTGAGAACACAATCATTTACATGTGGCTTCAACAACAGAGACACACAGCACAGATTGCTGAATAGTTTGCTGGAGCTGAAGGCAGTGAGCAGCCCAGAGGTTTGGCATGTGCTCCATGGCTTTGGTACCACTGGTGTTTTGCTGTGACCCTAAATTACCAACGTCTTCCTTCATCTATGTCCATGCACTCTTTCCAGCCAGACACAAAGGAAGGCTTGAGTTTGCTGTGACAAATGACCCGAGCTTCTGCCTGTGCTGCCTGTAAGGCTGCCCATCAAACTCCTGTACCATCGTAGGGACAGGGACAAGCCAACTGTTGCCCGCTGGGCTCGAGCAGAGTATGAGCTAACATGAGGAAAAGGCAGAGCCTGGGAATTGTGGTCAGTTCTTGGAGCAAACTCAGCATGGTGAAGTTGATATTTCCCTGGTTCTCCTCTGGTTAGGCTCCGTTTTGGAGACTCTTAATGAGGCTTGTCCCTCACCCAGTGCCTGAGGGCAGTAAATGTGTATGGTGTGGTCCTTTCCATGCTGTTGCAGGGGCCAAAGACCTGGCCTACAGGTACTCCTCATCCTGATCATGGGCCACCACTGCTGTGGAGGGACTGCCTGCGGCTTTGTTAGTGGTGCCAGCAAAGCAGCACCCTGCAGAGTGCTCTTGTGCTGCCCTGCTACAGCAGCACCTTTGCTTTTCATTTATATCTGCAGGAAAAAGCCAGGGAAGAAAGTTTTTGTCTTGCTGGTCAGTCTCGTAGATGCTCTCTCAACTGCCTCTAGATAATTACTCTGCCAGAGAGATTCTCAAACCGAAGCAGCTTCCTTGTTCCTGTTCCTGGGTATGTGTTCACATCTTGAATTAACTCAGTGTTTTAAATAAAACCATCAGCCAGATAATGAAGCATGTAGCTATGTAGGCTAGCAAGAAGTGGAAGAGTGAAAAAAAGCAAATTTGCAAGCGTGGCACCTATATTATTTTAAGGCAGTAAGTGTTTCTTGTTAAAATTGTCAGGCATGATGAATCTAATTCCTACGCTATTTTATTGGGAAATTAGGAATTTAATGGGCAAAGGCTGCTTTTCACAGTCTAAAATAGCTTGAAGTAAAGTGCAAAATGAAAGGTATATCAGTTAACCCACTGCAGTCTTCAACAAAGATCAGAAAGAGAAGATGAAAATAATCGAACTCACCTTAAGCCTGTTGAATGCAGCCCTCAGGATCTGCGTTTGCTTCTCGTTCTCGGGAACAACTCGTATGACTTTATCACTGCCAATAACAACAGAACATGGAATTGACAGGTTAAGGCTCTTTGTCGCAACGCAACAGTAAATCAGGTTCAGGTGGCTGCCGCACTTGTCCTCCTTTTCAGCATCTGCAGGATGCTGGGTGAACTGGAGCCCTGCTTGAAACTTGCACTTCCATAGAAATTATTTGCTCTTTACAGACTGGGGTGTCAGCTTGACCCTCCATTTCTATGTAAATGCTTTTTGCTCATTCCTTTTAATGTAAACCATTCAGGCTGACATCTTCCATACTGAATACCTGCCTCAAATCAAAACGATTATTTTTTTTTTTTTTTTCCAAAACAAATACTCTGTTTCAGAGGTCAAGATTAGGTAAGATGCATTGCTTTTATACATTTAAACATTTAATAGGTTTTGAAGAATCCGGTATTCTGATGCGTTAAAGAGGGGACTTGACTTTAGAGGAGAGGTGACCTTCATATTGAGGGCATGGTTTTCACTTTACCCATTAAAGCTTGCACAAATTTGGTGAAGTAAACAGCTGCTCATACATGCTCAAGAAGGTTCTAGGTAATCACAGCTCATTTTATGCACTTTCTTCAGCAAATCTGACCGAACATAACTCTGCAAAGAGGAAACAAGAAACTGAATTGCTGATCATTCAATTGCCACCATCCATGTCATGAACTATGGCAGGAAATCTTGAAAATATAGGGGGTGATCATGTAACTAAGAGGTCAGCATCATAATCCATACACCAAAGGGCAGAAATAAATTTGCATCGTCAATGCCAATTCTGGCCTTTTCCTACATTTTGCGTTTTTGAATGTGTACTGTTGATAATTAGTACTTCTCCTCTTCCAAGAGACCTTGGAGGTTCTACAGTTCCATCCACTAGCCAGAACCCTTTGAAAAAAATTTCTTTATCTCCTCATTATCTGTCCCTGCCCATGGCAGGGGGGTTGGAACTGGATGATCTTTAAGGTCCCTTCCAACTCTAACCATTCTATGATTCTTTGATAATACTGATGTACCCGGAGATGTGGACCTCAGTCCGTTCTGCTTGGCTGCTGTTGACCTTACTTGACAAATGGTCTATGCCTAAGAAGGAAGATTTCTGAGCCCACTCTTGTTATAATTTGGCAGCTCTAAAATTTTAGGGGAAATTACTACGCTTCCAAGCTTAATTTAACCTCTTGTACAGGAACTTACAGAGAAAGGAATAAACCTCTTAGCTTACTACAACTGCTGCATCTTTTCAAGGAAAATCGGTGTTTTTAATTTATCATACATACAATAGTAATATTCTTTCCCATTACTCATTTCTTTCAGAGTATTAAATTGCTATTAAGAAGGAAACGGGTAAAAAGAAGTAATGATTGTCCAGGACATGTGAAAGTGAACTAACTAATAAAGATTCATTGGACATTTCTGGAAGGGTTGGGGCAGCTGACACATAAAAACCAGATTTTAATGAAGTAAATAGCTAAGCATGTGTTACGCAGCTGTAATGGAATTTTGAAGAAATGGATATCACTTAAGTACAGTTTTGAATTAATACACATCACTCCAAACTGCCTTGGATTAGCTCAGCAACTCTGTCTTTTCCAATGTGATGAAAGACCTGCCTTTAGAGAGGAAAATATTGGTGCTGTGACAGATTGATCACTTGACGTGTTGTTGGGAAATGCCTCAAGCTGTGGCTGGGTCTGCTGCTGGAGAGCTCGTAGCAAGCATTTAGCATACCTGGTACTGTCAGTATTTTATGAAAAGGCGATTAAGCCATTATGACAAGGCAGTTTTACTTTTTGTGCATGCAAGATGCAGGAATACACGGAATTCCTGCGGCCTATCTGCTAACACCCCCTTCTGTAGGCTAGCCAGCTGGTGGATAATCATTATATGTCCTTCAAAAAAGCACAGCTACCAAATCCGGCTTTACTCTTGATACCTACTAGTCAAATAACATAGTCCTAAGGTTACTTTTTAGCTTTACAGCTTTCCTAGTCACTACTAAAGAAATTAAACGATTCCCTTAAACACTATGCAATACCCATTGGATTTAGGGTAGGAATCCAAAAGCCTACCCAGTACTTAAGAGCCAACAAAAAAATCTACCGGGTCACAGACTAATGTGGCTGATAAATGGCAGCCATACCCCAAACACTCAGAGCCACCCCCTAGAGAGGTCCCCTGCCATCCCTCATGTCTAGCTGTCGAGGAGAAAGCAGTAAGTGATCATGTAGACATCTAGGGAAAGTTGTGTTGCCTGCAGCCATGTGTCAGCTCTCTGCTGATTTATGTAGGCAAGGTTATTTTTCTAACCATACTGTCTCTAAATTTTTTTTTTTAATGTCTTTTTTTTTTAAATCCTTAAACAGCAAGATGGGATATATTTTGTAGACATTAATATGGAACTTCACATCAATGAGGACAAACTTTCAATTTACCCTTACAAGCTAGGCTAATGGAATTTAAAGCTAGGAATCAGTGAGATCATTTGAATTTTTAAAGCTAGGACTTAGTGAGATCATTTCAATTCTGTGTAAACACAGTTGAAAGCCTTTGCAAAGAGCAATACACAAGCTTTATGGAATGAACTGACCAGATGAGAGCAGTGAGCAAAGAGTAGAAGCTGGACCACTGGTGTCCCCAGGGACAGCCTTGTGAATGAGCAAACTGGGTGACCAGCTGTTGGCTAGCACTCACATGAAATGGCTTTGGGTTTTTTCCATCGTTACCTCCTTATATTTTCAAGAACAGCATGAAAAATGACAAAGCTGCTTTTGAAACACAGAATATGCTGCATGGGCCTGGGAAGTGTGATATTCCCTGCCGCCAATGGGGACTAAAACCAATTGGTTTATTTCCTTGGCTCTTTTCATTTACTTTTTTCCATTTACTTCATAGTTTTACTTGTCTATGAACAGAACAGATGGATCCAATGAAACCATTCTGCAGCACATATACAACTTCTTTACTGATGGAATTAGTTGTTCTCATGAAACTTTCCTGCTGAAGTCACACGGCATGAACTGCATTTATGGAAATTCTTCATTTCCTTCCAGAAAATGCTTCTTATTGTCTTATTTTCCTGACTAATCCGAACCTTAATCAGGTCTCTCCTCTCCCATGGAATTCAATAAAAGTATGTTTACAAAGGCTTTACATGTATTTTAAACACAGTGTGAGGAACGATACGTTATAAATCAAATACCTATAGAAAATAGATCTGCATTTACAACCCTCCATTCCTAGTGGTAGATGAGGGATTATAGTTCTTGAGAATAAGCAGCCATAGCTGCTGCACTTAAGTGATTCATTAAGGTTCGGGAGCTAGTTACACACTGGAAGACACATCTGAGAAAAGCTACAGCATGAAAGCCTCTCCTCAACTCCTAATATGCCACCAGATATAATTTCTGATGAAAGATCAACTGCTTCATTCCTGTTTCTCAGCTAAACTCTTCTGCCAGTCAAAATGTTAAGAAATATTCAAACATTTATTTTTTGTCTCTCTTCATTACTGGGATGAAGAGTTTCAACTGGAGACTCAACACTGTTACGAAAATTACTTAAGTAAAGTTGGACTCCTTCCTGAGACCTGATGGAGACAGCTGGAAAGGGAACTTTGCAAAACTTCCTGAGCTCTGCTGTAGGGTTTTCTGTATTACAGCAGATGCTGATCCAAAGCAGAGCGCCCCATTTGTATTTTCTAGATAGCATTATATATAATTTCTGCCTTTTAGTTATTTAAGCAGGAAAACTGATGTTATTCCTGGTATAAGGAAAAGCTAGCTTATCTATAATTTTGAATGAAAAAGATTTTCTTGGGTAATGTAGGGCAAAATGCTGAGGAAGCCAAATACACTATTGCATGATATTTATCAGTATAGCGCAGATGAATTCTCTGAAAAGTCAATTTATATGCGTGTTGCTCGCTAATTCCCAGGCATGGCACATCTGAGCTCGATAGATGTCTTTTAGGTACAAAAAGGGTTTTCTACTTTACCCAGGCAGGAACTTTTAGGGACTAAACCAATGCTAGATGTGGAATGCTCGCTGCTTTACTGCTATATGCTATAGAGTGCTTTATGCGCTCTTCCTTTAAACAGCTTCATTCCAGAGACAGATGGTCTGGAAAGGTGAATGTCTGCAGAAATTCCAGTTTTTGTTCCAACTAAGGAGCAATGCTTTTCCAAGCAAAGTTGGCCTCCGATGACTCGTGAACATCACATGTAGAGCCGTCTAGCTCAAACACAGAAAGTGAGAACAGGTTGCTTTAGTGCATGTCTGTCTCAGGGGAAAAAATAAGGTGTGTGGATGGTAATGGATACCACCTTGTTCCACCAAGCATCACCCCGTTGTATGCAAATGGAAGAGGGAAAGAAAGCAGTTACTGAGGGCACAAAACGAAATAAGAAGTAACAAGACAAATACAAACTTAAGAGAGACAAAGAGGCCAAATTAAGGAAGTAGATGAGAAGGAGATCTGGAGCTAAGCAGGGTGAAGGTATGCAAAATCTTGGGAGGTGCCCATTTTGACCCAAGGAGGAGGCTGCAGAAGTCCACTTAAATGAAACACTGTGCTTACACATTTGAGTCTACTTCCTAAGACACGTGTTATAATAACATGTTTGCACGAAACAGCTGATGATTGTTTAGCTTGGATGTAATCCTTCCAGTGACATATTATGTCAAGCACAGCTACTTTTAAAGAAAGGGCCATCATCAGTCCAGTAACAGAGATAATTGAAAGAAGCTTCTGCTATTACCTCAGCCCCTTCTTTATTCCCATGGCTCATATATTTCTCCAGTTCTGTGCTTTGTAAGGAAGCGATGAGTAGATGGTGATGCTGCCAAGCCTGGCCAGGATCCTTTATCTGTCCATCTGGGTGCTTTCCTGCCCAAACAGGAAAGCTTCTCCCCACCATCCCTCTTCATCCTGACTCCAGAGGCATGTTGGACTTCTGTGGCCAGATGAGCTGGCTCTACTCTCCTGACTATGTTGTGGCAATCAAG